GCGAGCTGTGTAGCTGCCAGCCCTTGATGTCCATGCTGAGTACCTTCTGGAGGAGCCAGGGCGAGACGTCGAGCAGGCTGATGACCTCGCCGTTGGGCCCGATCTTCTCAATCCCCCGCGGGTCGTATCCAATCCCGCGCAGCGACATGACGGCGGCCCCGAGGGGCCCCTTGACCTTCTCCCACTTGGCAGCCGCCCCCATTGCCCACTGGAACGTGGGCTCAAGCTGGGATGCAGGCATCCATCTCTCCCAGATCGCTCTGGCCAGGGTAAAGCAGGGCGCGGTGGTGACTGCGAAGATCGGGTCGAAGGTATCCGCGCCGCCCAGCATCAGACACGCCGTGAGCGACTTGCCTCGCGGCATCGGCTCGACAGCGTTCCCGAGGACCGTTCTCGTCTGCCCGCCTTGCCGTCGAGCCCCGCGCAGTTGATGCCGTAGAGCAGGCTCGGGGCCATCCCTGTGGAGGCCACCTTGGCAGCCGCCTCCCGCGCGCGACGGAGCCCAGGCAGCCTGCGCAAGCGAGGTAGGCGAAGCCGATTGCGCGCTATCCTCATCCTCCTGATGTCGCTCGTCCTGCGCGCGCCCTCCGCGCGATCGACGCCGAGTTCGCGCGCCTGCTGCGCGCCACCCACGCCAGCAGCTCTGCCCCGGAGCTTCTGCAGATGGTCCTTGAGCTGCTTGCGGCTAGCCCAAAGCCTGGACTTCTTGGTGGCAATCGTCGGCCGGACCCTGGACAGGTTGCGTGACCCCGCCTCGGCCGCTCTCGAGAGGTCGCTGGAAAGCCTCTCCGCTCCTCCCCAGCGCTTGCAGGACCGAGTCGTCCACCGCGACTGCGGGAGCGATCGTGCCGTTCTGCGCCACCACGTCGTCCAGCGGCGACAGGGGCATGACCTCCACGAAGGTGGCGATGAGCGCGTCGCCTGCGAGCACCGCCTGGAGCACTCGCAGCTCGTCCGAGCAGCAGCTCTCGAGGCAGACCACCCTCGGGAGCCGATAGAGCGAAACTCGGAGCGTGGCAAGCCACAATGGGAATCCGTGCTACTTGCACGCGTCAAGCAGGTGGTTGTGGAGGATCTGCTCGAAGGCCTTCCACAGGTCCGTGAGGATCGACGCCGACGCCCAGTCCTGATCGTCGTGCACCGCGATTATCATCTGGACCCCATCCGCCCGCAATTGCTGCTGCCACACTGCTCGGTCGCAACCCTTGCCCGAACTCGCCCACGGGCCTCCGAAGCCTGCCGTGCACCCGCGCGACCGCTCCCCGCAAGGCAGTTGGCCTGAGGCCGCCGTCCGACTTCGGGATGAAGGCCAACTTCGCGATGAAGGACGGCCAGTCGCACTTCTGCCCGATGGCCACCAGCACATCGATCATGGCCTCGATGCCCTCATCGTCAAGCAAGCCCAGCTCGCGGGGCCCGAGCGAGTCGAGGGAGGAGCCACCGGACTCCTTGAGCGAGCGGGTCGTTTGCTCAGCTCGTCGGGTCAGACGACGCTCTCCTTCTGCAGGAGGTCGCCCGGCGGCTTGGGGGCCCCCACCCCTCAATACCTTGACCACTCCTCCACCAGGGCTCTTACAGTCTCTGGGAGCGTCGATGGCCTCTGGTCATTCGGCCCCTCGGGCCAAGGCTGCCAGCCCTGCGGAGGCTTGGTCCGGGAGTGAAGGGCCCCTGTACCTCCTGGGTGGTTCTCGATCACGCAATCGTTGAAGCTGTCCCTGCTCTTGTCTGCGTCGCGCTTGACGAGTCTGTCCGCCATCGCGCCCGCGACGTATCTGACCACCTGCAGCTGGCGTTGGTCCATCTGTTCTGCCGCCTGCGCGAACCCAAGGAGGACGTGGCGGGCCCGGTGCGTCTCCTGCCTCCTGTCCCCAGCAGGGTCGGGCTGCTTGTCGCGCAGCTTCTCCAGGCCTTCCAAGGCGCGAAGCCTTTTCAGCGGCAGGTTGAGCTGCGCCGAATCCTTGAGCGCGATGGCCGCTCGTTCGACCCATGACGCTCTGGGCGTCAGCAGTGGCAGTCGTTGAGGAGATGGCTCCAGCACGTTGACGACGGCGAGCTCAGGCCCCTTCGCTCTCCCCGCGTGCGCGTCGCACTCGTGCTTGAGGCCAGTGGCGCCGACGATGTTCCGCTCCGCGTAGTAGATGAGGTGCTGCCGCTCGTCGCCCACCGCGGCGGCCTTGGCGATCTCCTCCCTGGCCTGGCCCCACTCGCGCGAGTGGCCCGCGCTGCAGCACGCCCTCGGGAGCGGGAAGGGGAACTCCCCGGGGCAGGCCATGACCTGCACGCGTTTGGCCGCGGAGCTGGCGCCGAGGCGGAGCTCCGCGGGGCAGCGCGGCGACAGGCCCCCGCCGTGCTCGACGCTGGCCTCCGCCTCCGAGGTGATGTCCGAGGCCGCGACGCAGTCGACGACGCGGCCCGGCGGCCGCACCGTGCAGTCGGCAGGCGAGACCGCCTTCCCGGAGACGCGCTCCCAGGAAGCCCGCAGCCGCGAGCTCGCACGGCGCCGTGTGGGAGCCCCCCCGCGATGGCGAAGGGCTCTTCGAGCGCGCGGAGGCTCCGCGCCACAGCGTCGAGGATCCCCAGGCTGACAGGTTGACGGCAGAGAGCCCCTCGCTCGCCTTCGGGTAGACGTTGAACCGGGCGAGCCCACCAGAGAAAGGCCCCAGAGAAGTGCGCGACAGCCGCGCGCCCGGGGGCCGAGATCATGCCCTGCCCCGTCTCGAAGACACCAAGTCCGCTGGACCTCGGCGCAAGCTGCAGCAGCCCTCCGCGGCCAGCGTGGCCTCCGGAAACACCGACGGCTGGAGCGGCAACCGCGCGCCACCGGAGCCGAGCTCGGATACCTCACCTCATCTCCGAAAGGCGCGTCTCCTGGACCGATGTCATGTCACAGCTCCGCACAGCCTGGCACGTGAGAATCCCTTCGAACCTGCTGCAAGCGTTGGCGTTGATAGCGAGGGCCGTCCACCATCGCCTCGAACTCCGACCGTCCTCAGCTCTCGGCTTCTTCGCGCATCGTAGACCTTCCAAGGCGTCACGTAATCGCTTGCGTCCCTCATCGTTCCAGCACCCATGATCTTCAGCAGCCACGAACGCGTCGAAGTCGGCCTCGTTGGCGGGCGGTGCTGGCGCAACTGGCTGCGCTCGTGCCTTGGCCTGGGCAGCTCCGCCCGCTCCTGCAGGCTGACCTCCCGCTGCGGCCTCGCCTCGAGCCTGCCCTCCTCTTGCTGGTGGTCCTGCAGCGGGGGCGCGAACCTCGTCAGCGAGTCCGTCGACCATCCTGGAGAGTTTCTCGCAGAGGTCCTGCCCAGACACTCCGTCCGCGTTGAGCTTGCTGACCTTGTCCTTGATGGTCTCTGGGCTGATGCCGCCCCTCTCTGGGCCTCCGCGAGCTCGACCTCGAGCTTTCTCGATCTCCGACGTCGTCTTGTGCACCTGCTCCAGAGCCTTGGAAGCTCTATCCTGATCACGCTGAAGCTTCGACTTAGCATCCGCCAGCTGCCGAGCCACGTGGTCCACTCGCTGCGGCGCCGCCTTTCCAACCAGTCCAGCAGCAGAAGGACGACAAGCAGCCTCCACCTTGCTGCGGCTTCCCTGGCTGAGGGTGGACTTGGTCGTCTCCCAGGTGGCGGCGTCGTCGAAGCCGGCCCAAGACCTGCTTTGAGCGAGGGTGCTGCCAGTCCCTGACTTGCCGTACTTGGGATCCCAGCCTCCCGCCCCGTATCTGTAGCCGTAGTTGTTGCCGCCCTTGCGGCCGTTGAAGGTCTTGACATCATGCCCCCATTGGCGACCCGGGGGGCCGCCGGCCCACTTCCCGCGAACGGGTGGTGCTCGAGAAACCCATTGCTAGCGAGGCGTGCGAGGCCGCACTCCACCGCATCCGACCTTTCCACACCTGAGACGTGTCGCTGAATGGAGCTCTCCACCTACGCACTGCCACTGTGCTGCCATGGCCGAGACAAACACAGTGTGATAAGCGCAAGCATTGGAGCCCACGCGCGCGCCGTCGCTCGTCGGTCTGTCCGCGGCCCAGCGGTCTCCGCTCGGAGGCCGCGGGGCAAGATCATCTTGAGCCAGAATTGCTACGGAGAGCCACCGGGGCCTTCGGTGGAGCCCCTTTTATGGGGCCACGAAACGTGAGGGGTTTGCCAAAGTGAGGGGGGGGGGGGCGGCATGCGGGCGCAGCCACCGGGGCCTTCGGTGGAGGTCCCTATCAGGCCACGAAGTACGTGAGGGGTGTGCCAAAGTGAGAGGGGTGGCGGCATGCGGGCGCAGCCACCAGGGCCGTCGGTGGTGCTCCCTATGGGGCCACGAAACGTGTGAGGGGTGTGCCAAACTGAGAGGGGTGGCTGCATGCGGGCGCAGCCACCGGGGCCTTCGATGGAGGTCCCTATCAGGCCACGAAACGCGTGAGGGGTATACCAAAGCGAGGGGGGTGGCGGCATGCGGGCGCAGCCACTGGGGCCTTCGGTGGAGGTCCCCATCAGGCCACGAAGCGCGTGAGGGGTGTGCCAAAGTGAGGGGGGTGGCGGCATGCGGGCGCAGCCACCGGGGCCTTCGGTGGAGCTCCCTATGGGGCCACGAAGCGTGTGAGGGGTGTGCCAAAGTGAAGGAGGGTGGCGGCATGCGGGCGCAGTCACTGGGGCCTTCGGTGGAGGTCCCTATCAGGTCACGAAGCGTGTGAGGGGTGTGCCAAAGTGAGGGGGGGAACGGGAGGAGGGAGGAGGGGGGAGGAGGAAGGAAAAATGAGGACGCGGGCGTTCTCTCCAAAACGAGGACTCAATTCAACACAAGATGGTTGGGAACAACTAGCTTGGCGGAGGACCCAACCCCATTCAGCTGCGTGTAGCTGAGGGCTCTAGGTCATTGGTGGCACCTGGTGGAGGTTATCAAAAGGGGGCGATGTTCCAGGTCATGTTCTGGGACACTACTGCTATTCGGGCACCAAGGGCAACAAGTTCGTCGCACGGTGTCCGAGACATGGCCCTCCCATACGTTTTACCCACACAGCACGCGCGCCTGGTATCCGTCTCTCCTCGTCCTCTGCCCCCTGCTCGTCCTCATCATCCTTCCTCTGCTGCTCCGCCTCCGCATCCTCTCTCTCTCACTCTCCCGTCCTCCTCCCTCCCCTGCCCTCTCCGCAGCCGTTCTGGCTTCAGCCACTTCGTCACGCCCGACATATCGGCGCTGGCATGGCCACTGACATCCCGCTCGTCGCCACAAAGCCGATGCCGCCCACGCTGGCGGGACAAGCACACCACCAGGACGGCGAGGGCCGCCCCCCGCTTGCACCGGCGGGCCGCTCGCGGTCCTGGTCGCCGCAGCGCACGGCCGAGCCTTGGAGACTGCCCGTCGGACTGGAGGCGGACTGCGGCCTCAACCTGGGGCTCTCTCTTCGACTCTCCAACCCTCTCTCCTGCTCCTCCTCCTCCCCCTTCTTCTCCTGCTCCTCATCATCATTATCATCATCCTTCTGCTCCTGCTCCTGCTCGTCCTCCTCTTCCTCCTCCTCCTCCTCCTCCTCCTCCTCCTCCTCCTCCTCCTTTCGACGCTGCCGTACATTAAGCGATGCCCCCTCCTCCTCCACCTCCTCCTCCTCCTCTTCCTCCTCCTCCTCCTCCTCCCACCTCCTCCGCTTCCTCTTCCTCCTTCTCCTCCTCCTCCTCCTTCTCCCCCTCCTCTGCCTCCTCCTCCTCCTCCTCCTCCTCCTCCTCCTCCTCCTCCTCCTCCTCCTCCTCCTCCTCTCCTCCTCCTCCCCTCCTCCTCCTCCTCCTCTGTCTCGTCCTCCTCCTCTCCTGTTCTTCCTCCTCCTCCTGCTCCTGCTCCTGCCTCCTGCTCCTGCTCCTCCTCCGCCTCCTCCTTCTCTGCCTCCACCTCTCTGAAACTGCCTCTGCCTTCTCCTCCTCCTCCTCCTCTTTCTCCTCTTCTTCCTCCTCCTCCTCCTCCTCCTCCTCCTCCTCATCATCATCATATCAGCATCATCATCATAATCAGCATCCTCCTCCTCCTCCTCCTCCTCCTCCTCCTCATCATCATCATCATCATCATCATGATCCTGCTCCTCCTCCTCGTCCTCCTCCTCCTCCCCCTCCTCTTGTTCCTCCTCCTTCTCCTTCTCCTGTTGGCGTTGGCCATACACTAAGCGAGTCCTCCTCCTCCTCCTCCTCCTCCTCCTCATCTACCTCCTCTACCTCCTCTACCTCCTCCTTCTCCTCTTCCTCCTCCTCCTCCTCCTCCTCCTTCTCCTCCTCCTCCCCCTCCTCCTCCTCCTCTCCTCTTCTCCTCCTCCTCCTCCTCCTCCTCCTCCTCCTCCTCCTCTCCCCTCTCCCCCTCTGCCTCTGCCTCCTCCTCCACCTCCTCCTCCTCCTCTTCATCATCATCATCCTCATCATCATCATTAGCATCATCATCGCCAGCAGCATCAGCATCATCAGCATCATCATAATCAGCATCAGCATCTGCATCATCGTCATCATCATCAGCAGCATCCGCTTTCTCCTCAACATCCTCCTCCTCTGCCTCCTCCTCCTCTGCCTCCTCCGCTTCCTCCTCCTCCTCGTCCTCCTCCTCCACCTTTTCCTCCTCCTTCCCTGCCCCTGCCTCCTCCTCCTCTCCTCCTGCTCCTCTTCCTCCTCCTCTTCCTCCTCCTCCTCCTCCTCGTCCTCCTCATCCTCCCCCGCGCCTCTGCCTCCTCCTCTGCATCATCCTCCGCCTCTCGTCATCCTCCTCCTCCTCATCCACCTCCTCCTCCCCCGCCTCCTCCTCCTCCGCATCTTCCTCCTCATCCTTTTCCTCCTCCTCCTCATCATCCTCCTCCTCGTCATTGTCTGCCTCTGCCTCTGCCTCCGCCTCGTCTTCCTCGTCCTCATCCTCCTGATCATCATCCTTCTCCTTCTCCTCATCGTTCTCCTTGTCCTTTTGACGGTGGCCAGACATTAATCGAACTCTCATCCTCCTCTTCCTCCTTCTCCTCTTCCTCCTCCTCATCCTCCTCCTCCACCGCCTCCTCATCATCGTCGTCATCTGCATCGTCTGCTCGGCCTCTGCCTCCGTCGCCTCGTCCTTCTCCTCCGTGTCCTCCTCGTCCTGTTCCTCCTCCTCCTCCTCCTCCTCCTCCTCCTCCTCCTCATCATCATCATCACCAGCAGCAGCAGCAGCATCATCATCATCATCATCAGCATCATCATCATCATCATCATGGTCATCATCATCATCAGCATCATCATCATCATCATCATCATCATCATCATCACATCATCATCATCATCATCGTCATCATCATCAGTCGTTTCCTTCTCCCCGTCCTCCTCCTTCCCATCCGCATCCTCCTCGTCCTTCTCCGTCTTCTCATCATCCGCCTCCTCATCGTCAACCTCCTCCTCCTCCTCCTCCTCCTCCTCCTCCTCCTCCTCCTCCTCCTCCTCCCCCGTCTCCTCCTCCCCCTCCCCCTCACTCGCATTTCCCTCCTCCGCCTCCTGATCCTCCATCTGCTCCTCCTCCTCCCCCTCGTCCTCCTGTTCCGCATCATTCTCATAATCATCGTGTTTATCGTCCTCCTCTGCTTCATCTGGCTCCTCCTCCTCATGCCCATCCTCATCGCCCTCCTCCTCCTCATCCTCCCCCTCCTCCTCATCCTCCTCATCATTGTCCTCCTCATTATCTGCATATGATTATGCCTCGTCCCCTGCTTCTGCCTCCTCCTCCTCCCCCTTATCCGTCTCCGCATCCTCCTCCTCCTTCTCATCGTCCGTCTTCGTTTGACGTTGTCCATACATTAAGCGAACACTCTTCATCCTCCTCCATCTCCTCATCCTCCCCCTCCTCCTCCTCCTCCTCCTCCTCATCCTCCTCCTCATCCCCCATCCTCCTCCTCCCACTCCTCCTCCTCCTCCTCCCCTCCTCCTCATCATCATCATCATCATCATCATCATCATCATCATCATCATCATCATCATCATCATCATCATCATCATCATCATCATCATCATCATCATCATCATCATCATCATCATCATCATCATCATCATCATCATCATCATCATCATCATCATCATCATCATCATCATCATCATCTTTCTTCTCCTCCGCCTTCTCATCCTCATCATCCTCTTCATCCTCACCCTCCCCCTCCTCCTCATCCCCATCATCGTCCTCCTCTGCGTCTGCCTCTGCATCTGCTTCTGCCTCCTCATCCTCCTCCACATCATCCTCCTTCCTCTCCTCCTCCTCATCCTTCCTATCATCCTCCTCTTCCGTTCTACGCTGGCATGCACTACGCCCCTCCTCCTCCTCCTCCTCCTCCTCCACCACTGCATCCTCTGCCTGCTCCTCCCTCTCCTCATCATCATCATCATCATCATCATCATCATCATCATCATCATCATCATCGTCCTTCTCCTCCTCCTCGTCCTCCTCTTCCTCCTCTTCCTCCTCCTCCTCCGCCTCCTCCTCCGCAGATTTATCCTCCTCCTCCTCTTCCTCCTCATCCTCCGTATAGCCCTCATCTGCTTCCTCCGTTGTTTCTTCATCCGCCTCATCGTCCTCTTCCTTCTCCTCCGCCGCCTCCTCCTCCTCCTCCTCCTCCTCCTCCTCCTCCTCCGTATCTGCTTCTGCCTCCTCCTCATCCTCCCTCCGTAGCCATTTCGGCTCAAGGCAGGTACTTCGAAGTGGTGCTCGTGTCTGCGAGCCAAAGTCTGAGAATCCCAGAACAACTGGACCTCCCTACATGGCATGGAGGCGCGAAGCGATGGCGACGGTGGTCTCATCGGCGGTGGCGGCGGCGCTCGAGGCGGCCTTCAACAGCCCGCCGTTCGAGCCGCCACCAGGCTTGTGGCAAGAGATGCCAGCGCAGCCGCCGCGCCCGCCCCCCACGGAGGCGCCGCGGCCCAAGGCGCGGGCTCGGCCGAGTTCGACACCGCCAGTGGAGCCCCCCTTGCTAGCGATGGAGGACGGCCAGGTGAACGAGCCCCAGGGCAAGGAGGGCGACCAGGGCGGCGTGCTCCAGCGCAGGAACCGCTGGACGCGGGGGCCCACTCCATCGACGGCGCCATCGGCGGCTACTCCGGGCCCCAGCTCGCCAAGGCCGTCGGCTCGCCAGGTGTTCCTCGACGCGCTGGAGGCGCACAAGGAGGAGGCCGAATGGGAGGAGCTCCGCCAGCTTCGCAAGCACCGCGAGATCCGCGAGCAGCGCAAGGCGGAGAAGGAGGCCCGCAAGAAGGAGAAGAAGGACAGGAAGGACAGGAAGGACCAGATGTTCAGCAGCGCGCCCTGGAGGCGGCGGTCGCGCAGCCCGCGCCGCTGAAGAGCCCCACGGCGCAGGAGGCCGGGATGCCCAAGCTGGTCATGATGTACTCCCTGGACGCCCAGGACATCGAGGATGAATGGTTGAATGGAGTCAACATGTGGTACCTCGATCTGGACGACTTCGACACGAAGCATGAGGAGCCTGCCGTGATGGATGTGGGCGCGCAGCAGCTGGTCACCATCGACGAGCAGGAGAGCCTCAACGCTGACTACCAGATGCCTGGCGTGGCGGATGCGGCCGCAGAGAAGCTGGACACCGCCGGCGCTGAGACGGTCGTCGAGATCGCGGGCAGTAGTCACAATGACATCTACGTGGGCATGAGGGGGCTGCAGGACCAGCGACTGAACCCGCTGGGCAGTGCAGCGGCTCTTGACGACGAGAAGCTTGTCGTAACGGCGGTGGGCTCGAAGCAGCAGGACTCCGTCAACGTGCAGATGAGCTCCAACATGGACATGGGCGTGAGTGGGCGGAAGGACCAGCGGCCGAAGCCGCTGGATAGATCTGCGACTCAGGATGACGATACGTTCAAGGCGGTGCTGCAGTAGAACGCCGAGGCCTTCTCCAAGATGGAGCTGGTATGGGCGCAGCGTGCAGCAGCGGCGAGGCTCAAGACCGACACCATCGACAAGGTCATACATGCGCCTGGTGGTGGTGGCGGCCCTGGCCATGGTCTTCGTGATCCACGCCCGAGGGCCTCAT